AATGAATTAAATGAAAGTAACACATACGGTATAGCTTCGATTCACATTTGAAAATCTCCATGAACCATCAATACCCATTCGATCGTATTCTTGTAGTACATCATAGACAGACCAGCCGCCTGATGAAGAAAGTTTTTCTTCCAATATATGTTCAAATGCATAAACTTGTGTGATAGAACCTTTTTAAATTCAAATAAATCAGTTAGTTAAAGGATAATCAACAAAATTCAAAAATATATAAACGAAGATATGACATACCGATACATGTTAATCTTTGTATTGTATTAAAAATATCGATCGCATCTTCTTGCATTTCCACTGAAAAAGTGTAAATGTTAAAATCACGACAACGAATAGTTAAAGGCCAAGATTTGGGATCCGTAGTAGGGGAACGACGCTCGACGGTATGGATAAGTGGATATAAGATCTAAACATGTAATTTGAAGTTTAAGGCTTAGACCCAAACATATCAAACATAAATGACATAGAAAACCTCAATTGTTTTAAAAAGCATACATATAATTCATCCTTTTGAAGTGGGCCTCTAAAGATCATTCTATGCGACGTCAGGTAAAGACTTCCAACCACAGCAATCCGTCCTCTTTCAAGTAGGACATTTTCGACCTAGAAAATGAGACGAAATCAGCAAAGCATTTTCCTTCTTCTTTTATTAATCACCGGCATTTTTCGAAAATGAACCTTTGTGATCTTTAAAAGGTCCATGTCAACAGTACTACACTCTGCACCGACTTTTGTTTCTTTTAAAACTTGAGGTGTTTCAATTTAACGTTAGTGTAAGACAATCACGAGATATCATTTATCTATGTGTTACGTGTGACCCAACGTTTCTAAGAAGATTAGCATCGATTTGCGATTTTAAGGTTTTCATTCAAAATCTTAAATACATAATATTCTTTTAAGCAAAGTTGTTTCTGAGATTTCTATGAGCAAAAAATGTTAAATATTTAACCTTTTCCTGTTAAGTACCATACTTTTACGTAATAAAGATGACAGTAATTTTATCTTTCGCTAAATTATTCAGCTCATAAAAGTGGTTATCAAGAACGACTCAGTGAGAATTATAACCTTGAAACCTTGAAACTTTGAAAGGGTTGTGTATTATAAATGCGAGGAGAAATTTACGAAAAACCACTTTTATATGTATTCGGTATGTAGATAGAACCCCGAATAATACTAACAGAGGTCATATTAATTTTTTTAAAAAAAAAGCAAATCTGATTGGTTAAAATGGTAAAATTTTTTTTAACAAAGAAAAGTGGATAATGCCGCAATATAACCTCTGTTACGTAGTAGCATTTGCTAACAGCTAATTGTTTCTATTTGTTAGTGCTCGTCAAGTTAGTGGCAAATGACATTTATCACGGTGGTAAATAACGATAAGTACGTAATATTTATCAATTACGTATCCGTCATATGTACAAACATAACCACAAAGATTATTTACCTTGTTGTATATACGTATGTTAGACGTCACTTTCAAATTTCTGTTATTAAAATTAAAAATTATAAATCGGTATACCCCAATAATAAATTGAGTAAAAAAAAAAAACAAAAGGCAAATTTATTTTTAATAAATATATATTTATTAATTATCGCATTTACGTTATCGATTAATCCTTATTTCATTATTAAAATCTAATTCCATTTTAATAAGGAAAACTTGGAATATAATGTTTAGCACAAGAATGAACTTAATGACTTTTTCATGTATGTTAGCGAACACAACCACAACGGAAAATATAAAGTCATTGTTTTTATAACAAATTTTTGGTCTTTTTTACTATATATATAATTGGTAATACATTATTTTGTTTGACAAATAACGATGTAAAGATCTTCAGTACGTACGTACATACGTACGTAATACGAATTGAAGTGCCACGTCTTTTACTTTTTCGGCTATTCACATAGTTACGTACGTTCGTACATAGTATCAACAATTTTTTAAAGGTTTGAAACAAGTTTATTTAATTCTTATAAGAGTTAACGTTAATGGATTCAATTAAATCTGTATTTAGGGTTTTAATAATATATTCGCATATCAGATAAGGTACAGTACCTCTGTCCACTCACGAACCTGGATTCAGTAGAGATGCCGTATAACATTGCTTATAGTACGGGGCCTTATTCAAGAATTGAATAGTATCGGGTACTATTCACGAATCCAGTAATTTCATTGGTGGAGAAGGAAGGTATTTTATGTGGTAGGATATTATTTTTGGGAGATATAAGCGGTGCTGAACAGTAATGGGCTGTAAATACAGAATCCAGATATGTAGAATATTAACATCGCAGCGGATTGGTGGAATTTGACCTTTTTTAAATATATTAAATTTATAAACATAGGCACTTATTTGATATTTCAATTTATATAAAAAACTCTAAAAATCAGATCTACGTAGTTAAATTTGGTGACTTAAATAAAGGTCAAATTCTGCAGATCTGCCGCGATGACTCTAACTGATTAACATTGTCGAACTCATCCCCTGTAAAATTTATGCCTCAATGACTAAATGTGATTAAATTCGTGCAAGATTGTCCATTCCAATCGTTTCTATAACATGTGGTTTGATAATTAAATTGTTTTTTTTTTTTTTTACCAAGAAATTATGATTTGGTGGCTCTTAAAAAAGGAGATAATCAATGTGTTATGAACTAATCACATAACATCCGTTCTTCAGAGACCGTCAATTTTACAGGTTTTTCCATTTCAACACTCATAGAATGATTCCATTTAGAAAATTCTAGATCTCTGTCACAACCGGTGGAACCTGTTATACCTTACAAAAAAAGTTAAATACATGTTTTGTTTTTTTTTTAATCGTTATTTGTTTTAACATGATATATAATATACTTTTTATAGAGATATTATTGGTCAATAGATGTAGGATGTAGACCAATAACTTATCCTTACCACATAATACTATAATAATCGATGCAACATTTTGTGAAGGACACCTTAATAAGATGTATTTTCCATTTTATAATGCTGCTAGTGTTTTTTCAGGCTTATCGAGCTATGGTACATTCTTAAGAAAGCTAATTTTATCTGGCTCCATCGGAGTCAGCCACCGGTGGATAAAATAGATCGAATGTTATCCGTTTATTTGAATTAAAGGTAGTAAATATTAGTTAAAAGTAATTATATAACAATAATTGGCAGGCTGAGAATTTATTATTATTAAAATAAAAAGCCTCATACAGTGATCGAATAATTATATAATTCCTTACCTTATGAAAAAAATATATATTTTTTTGCTTATATCAATATTGATTGAGGAAATGGCTGATGATTGTTGGGTTTGCATAATCGCAATAATTTCTATAATGATAATTCTTTGCCCAATTCTTCGTAAGTTTCTAGTTTTGACGCTGATTCATTCTTCACAATTAATAATTAGAATTCTTTTATTATTCAGAAATTGCTAAAATCGTCGTATTTAATAAAGCTGGATTGCACTTGAGTTGGATTGATTATTTGTAAGGTTTAAATTGTTAAAGAAAACTTATCGAATGCTAACATTTGTTCGTAAATAATTTTTTTATAAATTTAGTTATCTGGTTATCTTAATTGTTATTATATGTAAGTTATGTTGTACATTATCAACGAAATTGCAAAAATAATCCATAATTAACGATTCGATATATCTACTACGTATTGAAAATACAGCTACGGTTATATGCATGATTTGTCTAGATTCAGAAGCTGGATTTGTCATTATCTTGTATAATATCGACTTTATAATTAGTTATTTGTATTTATTCAAATGTTATTACGGTAATGAAATCTTTAACATAATTCTAAATTTCACTTTTTTAAGAGTCTGTATTCTCATTTGGTTTGCGTTTCTATGTAAGTGTTACGTTTAAGTGCCACCAAAAAAAAAAACCCGGGCTTCGAGCTTTTATTTAATTATATATAAGCCGGCGATTATATTTTTCAGAAGCCCCGAAGTCGGTTTGCTTTTGATAACACTCATTTATGCTGTCAGCTTGTAACTTTTTAATCTTTTTAAATTTCATGAAAAAGGTACATATACATCGATTACGATGAAAGAAATGGATATTCCTTTCCTCTGCCCTTCAAATTACAATTATACTTCACATTTAGTCAAATCTGCATGTCAAATTCGTGCTGCAAATTTAGTTTTTATGTGGGTAGTCGGTACACTTCTTGCATTGCCTATCTTAGGTTCAGTCGGGTGTTCCGATTTAAATTTATCTTGTTAAAAACTTATTTAGTAATAGCCAATAAAAGTAACTAAAAATTCATATAACTCAAGCCTTACTATACAGCAAGTTGTAACAAATATTTTTTATTTTTTATTACAAATATATTGTATATATATATAGTACATATTATTACAAACAGCGTAAATAACATATTATTAGGCGACAGCTACCTAAAATGATATTTCCACACCCCCATGTAGATCACTTTTTTTAAAACTTTAATCGAAGGTATCTCGACGACCACCTGACCAAATCCGATAAATTTTTTTTTTTTTATTAGAATTCTACGTGTCTGTAGAATTCAAATAAAAAAATTCATCGAAATTGGTCAGGTGGTTATCGAGATACCTTTAATTATCATAACAATTATTGACTAAACAACAATAAATATAAACGAGTATCCGTCGGTTGGTTATCCGGATCACGCGACGTGGACGCCGATACTCAGGTGATCCAAAAGGTTTTTTAGAGTAGAAATCAAAAAAATGAAGGAACCAATACGCAAAGTGACGTGGAGGGTTTCATATGTTAAAACTGATTAAAACCAGGTTTAACACATAAAAAATAAAAAAGATTTCAAACACTATGGGCGACTGATTTGACAAGCATTGACCAGTCGTGTCACTAGATGAGACCTCTATTAGGAGTTTTTTTTATCGACATAAGTCCCTTTAGAAAAGGTGTATAATAGTAGTAATAAAAAAACTAAAAAAAATTAAAGATAGAAAGAAGCAGTAAAAATCGAAGATAAAAGAAAGCAATAAAAAAACGAAAGAAGCAGTAAAAATCGAAGATAAAAGAAAGCAATAAAAAAACGAAAATAGAAGGAAGTAAAAAAAAAAAAAAAAAAAAAAAACGAAAACAGAAGGAAGTAGTAAAAAAGACGAAATAATGCAGTATTGAGATTGATAATTCTTTTTATTGATATCGATATTACATCACATTAGAGATCTACCCGTGATAATTAACCACTCAAATTACATAATTTTCAAAAGATTCATCGATTTAACGTTAAAAGTACTAGAAAGTACGTGCCCACATGTGGGGGTACATGTGGGCGTTAAAAGGCGTTAAAAAGACGTGAAATTTCTAGAATTTCATGTGATCGACTCACGCGGACAAAGGGTCCTCCGCTTCAATTAAGACCGGAAATTTTTCATGTTGTAAAGAAGCTTATAAATTAATAAATATACAAAAGAACTAATTTATCGCATATACATATGACCCTCGTTAATATCAACCTAAGTTACAAGACAAATTTTTATAAATTTTTGTATATCAAAATTCCCTCATATATATCAACTTTTACACACTAATATCACTATCAACATGAATATAAGAGTGATCCAAATGGGTTGATATTAGTGAAGGTTAAGTATATATGTTGTGCAAATTAATATCTGCATCAGATTAAAATAATTATGGTTCTGCTACTTATGCTACTTACCCTTACCCTAACATAGGCTTTCACCTCTGTACGTATTTAAATTTTGATCTGACGTAATTTGCGCAGATTTACTGAACTACGAATCAGATTTCAAGATCAGGTGCAAACGTAACACGATCAAGAAAATTCAAAACAGATGTTCGTTTCGTTTACTTTTCGAAATTCTACATAAAAAACCACTTTTGATGCTCTAACAAAAAGCTTTCTTTCGTTGGACAATTTTACTACACAAACTACCATTCTCTAGCCTATAACACTAACTCTAACTCTAACATGAATGAACTTCAAAGAATTTGTGCTGCGCCATAAACCTGGCACACATTCAAGTAATGCATACAACACATCGTTTAAATATGATTCTAATATTTGTAAAATAGTAACCATATGCAACCTGCTAATGGTAATAATAAAATAATTTAAGTAAAGAATATGAAAACTACAGAACTAGAAAACTTTGAATAATGGATGTATTTAATATGATGTTTGATATAATGTAGTTCTTCATTTTCTAACAGTTATTTCTTAAAAGTCAGCTATCGTACTTTTAAATCAAGATTTCGGTATCCAAATATTGAACGTAAGGATCAGTTGAACCAGGATCTAAAATTCAGTATAGTAAGGCTTGAAAGGCTTTCACTTCGCTCCTCTCAGTTCCAGTTCATTAATATGTAAGCTGTAAATTTTACTTCCAGAAGTTTTAGTTATAATCCAATTGTTTGGATTGCGTTAACTAATTAACCGAAATATGTCATCGTATTGTAATTGTGTAATGTAGACAAATATATTAAATCAAATAAAAACATTCTTTTTTTTTGTTTTATATAATTTATTAAAATGCAACACGAAAGAATTTATAAATTGCTATGAGGAATAAAATAAAAGCAAATGAAGAAGTAAATTTTTAACAAAAACTTTCATGTTATGGTTAGTATTTAGGGTTGGAATTAAGGTTTGGGAAAGGTTTTGTATAACACCCGCGCCGATTAATTAGCCAGTTTTTGAGATAATGTATTCATTAGATGTAAAACACCATAGGTGCGTTTTAGTAAAAGTCATTTATAAAGTTTAAATACTATATATTTTAAATTTAATTCTGAAGTATAATGCCTAAGAATTAGGTTTCCAGTCCACAAAAAGACGTTTTTCTGGTATTATATAATTTATGTGTATAAATTTGATCTTGTTGAAAAAAGGAATCTTCACACAATGGAAGAAGTGGTTAAAAGCATCGAATCAAATTTTTTACCAATCCGAAAAATAATTGATGACTCTAAAACATGAAATAGGCGATGCGAAAACACCTTTACCGGCTATAGATTACGAAATTTTTTGTAAAATACATACATACCAAGCTTCGAGGCTATTCCTAAATTACGTTATTAAGGTTTGATATTACTAAAACTGGTCGAATCTGTCAGTATAATACTTTCCGAAGCCAATCTCAATCGAAAATTTTTATAAATCTCATTTAGAAAATGTTCTTACCGTATTTGCGCGAAATAACGCCCGTGGCGTTATTATTTACATAAAGTGAACTCTCAATTAATTTATCCATGACCTTAAAAATACTGTATTTGCGCGAAAGAACGCCCCGGGGCGTTATTTCGAGGCATGCAATTTAACATTAAAGAAAACTCAATTAATTTAGCTAAAGATTTTTATCATGGTTCGCATTCGGTTAAATTAATTGAGTTTTCTTTAAATCGCACAAATATGGTATATATAATTTTATATTTGTGTTTTCATAATTAATAATTCCAAATTTTAATGAGATTCTGGTGACTATACTAGGAGAGCTTGAACTCTGGTTCTTTTATTTCACTTCAAACCATTTAATTTCTATTTAAGAATAATTTTGGGTTTGGGCTTTGCCAGCAAATATATATACATCGAAATTGAAGTGGCTGAATCACAAGTAGACCAATCAAAAAGTCAAACGAATAAACATTTTTTTTCAAAATTCTATTAAACCCGCTTTGTGGAATTCTCTGTAAAAAAAAAAAAAAGATTTTTTTCCAACTTTAATCAGAACTTTAACAGAACTTTGGCATAATATTTTTAAAACCGTTAACACATTATAATCGAATAGTGTCAACCTAAGTTCTAATAATACAGAATCGACCATACTATTTTGTAACAATAATAAGGATTTTTAATCGGTTTGCATTTTTTTTTACGTATACTTATGCATTTATTTTTTTCCAAATTTTGATTTCCTTACTATGTATAACTTTTACCATAAGTTCTATAATGCGTAATTAAATTTAATACGTACGTACGTACGTATCTAAATTCGGTCTTAAACAGTTCTACGTATTAGTTATTTTCATTATATTAGATTATATTTCGACCGCATTGCCTCCTGAAATCGATAGTAATAGTGTGACCAAAAACCGCAACTTTGGAACATAACGCTAAAACGTGATCTAAAGTGCGACGGAATTTTGCAAAGTGAAATTAAGGAGAATCTGGATTATTAAGCTTCTCATGTCACATATAAAAACCTCCCCATCGATACATGGCGTGTCAGCAGAAACAAGATAACAAGAATACATTTGATAAAAAGATTTTTTAATCAAACTTTTTGTTCAATTTATTTATTGTTATCTTTGTTCAAGGTTTTAAAAACATATATAAGCGACAAAGGAGCATAGTTATTTGATTGGTTAGTTACTATATGTGCATTTCTATTGGTTAACATTATACTCATCGTGGGATTCTTCCAGTTGAATTTTCATTGGAACATTGGGAATATTGGAAAAATATGGAAGTCCAGCTTCCAGTCGGCAATACTTCTACTATGACAAATAACGGACAGAGAATTGGTGATTCTTTCTACCATAACTATTCTTCACAACACCCATACCAACAGCATCGACACCCTGATGCGGATGTGTCTCGCAATCAAGCCTCTATAAGCGTACCTACCCTGAACACATATCCGTTTGACGGTGATTTTCCAACAACACAGCAATATTCACAATACTCACAACATCCTGAATATTCTCAACAATCGCAACACCTACAATACTCACATCGTCCACAAAATGGCCCAACACCAAGGATCTCCGTTCATCCTGTTCATCCTGTTCAGCCATATGAAGGGCGTACATCTTCGTTGACATCGTTGACATCGTTGACATCGCGGATGTCCAGTCGACGACCTCAACCGCCTCTTTCTCAATATTCACCCAATATGTCACAGCTTCCTTCTGTTTCTCAAAGATCAAAGTTAGTTATTGGTATGTTCATTATGATTTAGTAATTATTACTACTTTTTTTCTTTTTTTTTTTTTTTTTTTTTACGCATTTAAAATTATTATCGTGTACATGTTTTATCTTATTTATTATAATTTCTGAGGTTTAATATAATTCATAAAATATAATAAAATACATAGATGAATTCACAAATATTATCGATGACCTTTTCAATAGGTACTAGCGCTACTCCCTCAAATCTTATCCCAACCTATTCCGAAGAATACATTCCCCCTCTTCGAAAATCAATGGAAAACCTTCGTAATAAATCACAAAATTATCATTCAACTTATCATTCTGAACGCATTCGTTCATTGTCATACTCTGAGCCATCGCCACCATCTGCTGGTTCAGATTCAAGTGCTCCTTCATCTCCCTCTTCTTACATAGGAAAACAGCATGTTCCAATTGTTTACCCTGCTTTACTTTCAAAGGTTGCCGATGCATTTCGTTCTAGGATGATTCTTACAAATAGAATGAAAGATAACCTCGAATATAAAGATTGCTTCGATGGGAGAGAAGCTGTGGTATGACTTTGTTGATATTTAGTTGATATTTAGTTCATTTTGTCAACTACATCTGAATTAGATTATAATTTTTGTGAAAATAATAATAAATTTATATATTTACTTTAATTTTTAATTATGTAACAAAAGGACAAGATCGCATTTATAATCAAAACTACGGATAGGAATTTGGCTTTATTGCTTGGTCGAGCTCTAGATTCTCAAAAATTTTTCCATGATGTGACATATGATCATAGACTTCGTGACTCTTCACATGAATTATATCAATTCAAAAAAATGCCATCAATTTTATCGTCCGATAATTATGATCATGTCGAATATGGAAAGGAAGATAATACTGAAGATGATGCTGATGCTGATGCTGAAGAAAGTGATTTACCAAATGGTGTTTTTACTTTGTTGACCGATTGTTATTCCCCTACATGTACCAGAGATAATTTATGTTATAGTATTATTTGTCCTAGAAGGTTGGAGCAAGTAGGTATATTATAATTTCGTTCTCCTTCATATGAATCAGATCGTGATTTACTGTATATATATTTTTTTATTAATGTGCAAATATAGTCTGTACGTAAGACGAAGCCAACTGCCAGCCTTAAACGTAGTGCTAGTCGTGGTTCTCTTTCAGACAAAAAGGTATTTATACTTGCCTATTCACGTACTTATTTCACGTTTTATTATTATTTATGATAAAATATCTTGTCATTAACTCATTAAAAAAAAAAAATAAATTATTTTTAATAGGATCGAAAATTATGGATTCATACTGTTCTTCCTGAAATTGCTAACTCAGTTTCTGAGACGGAAAAAAAGCGTCAAGAAGCTATAAATGAAGTTATTTATACTGAGAAAGATTTTGTACATGATTTAGAATACCTAAAAAATGTATGTAAATATACCCCTTTTTTTTTTTTGTTATTATTTTGGTTATACTTAATCATTTTAATCATTTTATTTCTATAATAAATTAGTGTTGGATGACACCTCTCTTAATGCAAAATATTATTTCTGAGTCTCGACGTGAAATATTTGTCAATGATGTTTTTTTCAATATACTGGATATTTACAATGTTAATTCTAAACTGAATGATGCACTTCAAAAACGGCAAAATGCTTATGCCATTGTTGAACAAATTGGTGACATCTTTTTAGAATATATTCCATTTTTTGATCCTTTTATTCAGTATGGTGCACATCAATTGTTGGGAAAATATGAATTTGAAAAAGAAAAAAGCAATAATCCAGCGTTTGCAAAATTTGTTGAAGTAATATCATGATTTCATATTTTATGTTTATGCTTAATTATTATTATTTCTTATCTCTTTAATTGATTTGAAAATAATGAAAATTTCCATTTTATTATAGGAAACTGAACGTCTTCCTGAATCAAGAAAATTAGAGCTTAATGGGTATCTTACAAAGCCTACAACCCGTCTTGGAAGATATCCATTACTCCTTGAAGCTGTTCTCAAAAATACTCCTTGCGATCATCCTGATAAAGTTAATATACCAAAGGTAATCAATATCATCAAAGAATATTTAACGAATGTTAATATTGAGTCTGGGAAATCGGAAAATCGTTTCAATTTACAACAATTAAACGATCAATTGATTTCTAGAGGGAATGTGGTATGTAACTTTAAACGTTTCAATTCTGAAAATATGTGATTTCTCCCGTTAGGTTATTAAATATTATGCTAATGAACTAATAACTTCATAGGATTTGAAATTGACTGAAGAAGGACGTCAGCTCGTCTTCAAGGGTTCTTTAAAGAAACCTACTCGAGCTGGTGAACCCTCAGATTTACAAGTGTTTTTGTTCGATCATGCTTTATTGATGGTGAAAACTAAAACTGTAAACAAGGCTGAACATTATAAAATTTATCGAAAAGTACGTGAAATAATTTGGCTAGTTTTTTTTTTTTTTATTTATTTATTTAACGTGATACTTTTTAACTCATTTTATAGCCCATTCCTCTTGAATTATTGAGCATTTCAACATCGGAAGGACAATCTGAAACTGCCCGTGCGAATGCGAAACGGCCACAGTCAATATTACACGGGATGCCTGGAAAAGGGCAAGCAGCTACTCGTGGAAATAGCAGTAATCAATTTGCATTAACGCTATGTTGTCTCGGAAAAAAGGGTTTTGCGGTAACTTTATATGCAACGACGATTATCGGTCGCAAAAAGTGGATCGAACATATAGAAAAACAAAAAGAACTCAATGAAAAGGGGAAGGTATTTGAGAAAACTGTATTAATAGAAAAAAGACATTTTCATGAAACACATAAGATTCTTTGTGCCGTATTTTTTGGTAAATTATTTATATAAAATCATTTATTTCTCACAAAAACTCTTCAATAATAATACTTATTCTTATATTTATTTCAATTTTCCCTTGCTTAGATGATTATCGAAAATTAGCCTTTGGTACGGATAATGGTGTATATGTGCTAGATATTGGTCAAAATCAAAAATCTGCAGTTCTAGCATTGCAAATAGAAAAAGTATCTCAAATTGAAATTCTTGAGGATTATCGATTATTATTTGTATTAGCTGGTAAGGGTAAGTATTTATAAAATTCAATTAGTTTTCCTTTTCTGAGAAAGACATCATTGTGAATACGTTCTTAAATTACGATAATTTTTTTAAGACAAAAGCCTATATTCATATCCAATCGATGCATTGGACCCTGGTGATACTAATGGGGCCAGTAAACGTTCAAAAAAAATCAACGCACATACCAGTTTCTTTAAGTCAGGAACTTGTCGCGGAAAAACTTTAATAACAGTTGTAAAAAACAGTACACTTCAATCGACTATCAAAACTTTGGAACCTCTTGAACAAAATG